TTCATCTTTATCTTTTCCTTTATCCTGATCTAAATATGTCCATTCTTTTCTTCATTTACATATTCACCCCCACCATTGTCATTAGGTTAGGTATTTAAAATTTCCTTCGTCTTTGTCTTTATATTTAGGTTTCTTTACTTTTATTTTAATTTCTGTATTTATCCCTTTCTTCTCCTCCATACTCAACTTTACCTTTTCTTGTTTGAGTCTAATCTATTCATGTATGTACATTAGACTGCATCACCAAAAAAAGTTGCGGTTTTTAAGCCCGGATTATAAAATCTATTATATTTTAAGACGTCCACCAAAATATTTGGGAAAAATATTAAGATTTAAGCGAGCTGGACCAATTTGAAAATACCTCCAAAATTAGGTTTTGTATGAATAAAAATAGCCTTGTTCTGGCCAATATTATGTAGAACACCGCAGGCAACAATAATTGACATAGTCGTTTCTACAGAAACACTTAATTCAACAGATAGTATTGAAAACCGATGCAGTTTCTAGTTCGGATTTGCGACTCATGGTATAACCGTTCTGCAGCAGTGTTAGGATGTAAAAGTGAGGTCGTCATATATTTGCTGACAGCATAACCACTATCGCCTAATATAAAGCAGTCCTTAAAATTATTCTCTTCGAAACGTTGCTTAATACGGCTGTTGTTAAAAATGTTGCTATTATGAGCAGAGCCAGGCCACCTGCACACCAGATCCATAATTTCTAAATTAGCATTACAACATCGCTTGTACGTTAAGGGAAAAATACCCTTTCCGATTTCGGAATATTTCGGCATTTTCCACACTAGGCGATTGTACTCTAACATGGGTACCATCGATACATCCCACTACTTTCGGGAATTTGGCAATTCTGTGGAATGCCCGGTTAGAATTTTCAATTTCGTTTCGGGTTTTCGGCATTTTAATAAATTCTGGGGAAAGTCGTGCAATGGCATTCGACACTTCTTTAACAACGCGGCTAGCAGTGGACATATCATCTTCACAGAAATCGGCAACAGTTATAGGAAGCTCCCTGGGCTTAGGGCGTGGTTTCTGGAAAATCAGGTGAAGGGATAAAAAGAATGAAGCTTACCTTACTTTTATATTATAAATCCGAAAGTGGGTTTGTTTGTTTGCTACGCTTTCACGCTTTAGCTATTCAACCGATCATCATGAAATTTCGTACTCTGCTGTTATTTACCCCAACTTAAAATATAGGATCCAATTAATCTCGATTAGGCAAGAGGGTGTGGCACCTCCCATACAAACGGAATTTTTCAAACTGCATTTCTCAGGAAATATTTTTGGTAGATTACTGGAACTTGGTATGGAGATATATAAAATCATTCTCTACTCATGGATGAGGGCTACCACCTTTTAAAAAATCTAATTCAACTTCAATTAAGGGAGTTATTTATTTGAAAATTATATTTAAAAAATGGATGCTGTAGTTTAATATATTTTGAAAAGGCTTGCCACCTGTTTGAAAAATAAAATTTAAATTAATTATACGCAAGCCATCTGAAGAATTAAAATATGGCTGTGAACCAAAATATTGTTAGTTTTAAAGTTTTGAATAATATTGAAGTCTTTCACAAGGGTAGCCACCTTTTTAAAAATTCATCTTAATTAGTTTAAATGAAATATAATAATACTAGCAGACCCGGCGAACTTCGTCCCGCACAAAATAATTTTTTTATTGAAACCTTTTGGTCCAACATTTTCACCAAAAATTCACGTTTACGATTTCCATCGTACGCTCATCGGCTAAGATTGTGGTTTGGTGGTCGTTTTCCGACTTAAATAACCTAACGAAAGCGTTATGTCCGTGTTGAAGTTCTTGAAATTCTCTAATTGTGTAACATTTCATAGAACGGTTAATCTCACAACGAAATAACTTCACTCCCTGGCGGCAAAAATGATCCGGTTCTATAGTAAATCTGTCCAAGAAAATTTATTGTATAGTTGATGGCAATTTCAAAATGGATGCGTATAATTGTTCTACAGAAATCTAATATACATAGACTCATTTCAGACGAAATACCTTAAAAGTAAGTTTCTCGAAAGCAATTTAAGAGAAAATAATTTTTTTTATTTGAATTTATTACAGTAAAAGGCGCGCGATGGTTTTGGCGGTTGATTTATCGATGGTGATTTGAGATTTACCCCTGCACAACTCAACCCTGGTAAATGAATTTTTCCATTACACATACACTACGTATAATGGAAATATTCAATTCAAATACGCCCGTATTAAAATTAAGCAGTTTTCACTGCACGGATGGCGTTTTGCACGTCTTGGATGCTTTTTCATATGTAATTAAGAAAGTATATGTATGTATGCAAGGCTAACACAGCGGTGACAGCACATACACATACATGATATGACATGACATAATGCACTAATCGCACGCTATGATGTTGATTCAAACTCAACATTTTAAAGCACATTTACTTCGCCCAGTTGTCGATATTCGACATCTTTTTTCATACACTTTTGAATTTTAGCTGTCACCAATACTACATCCATTATGCGAATTACAATTTTGAAGTCCGCCAGCATAATTTATAGCGAATTTACAGGAAAACTTAAGATCGAATTATGTACGTTAATACCGGATTGATTAATATACCCTGCAAACAAACTCCCCCGAAATATTTAAGATTTCGAAAATTTGTTACGATTCGTTTAGGAATCTTTAAAGAAAAACATATGAAGCGGTTGACAAGAACCAGTAAAGAAATTTCTGTACGATTTCTTAAAGAAAATTCTTAAAAAAATTGTGAAACCTTTCAGAATGCTCTGAAATCCTGGTATGCTGGGTATACATATACATACAAATATGAATAGATAAAGAAGCTGCTATTGACACAAGGAGTTCATACCAACGGTAAATGTTGTTTTTGTACGATTGCTACATGAATCATGACCTTATTCCCAATGACATCAATACTGCGAAATCAGGTGTAAAATAAGGGTTGTGCCATACAATTTCTATTCCTTACAAGTTTCATGCATTAAATGTTAAGACTTACGATCATATTAAATAAGGCTTATATAAGACGCAAATTTTTTGGTGGGAGTACATTTAACGCACACATTCTCACTTGTTGAATCGTTTGAATGTGTTAATATGCCGACCGCTGCTATAAAGTGTCTAGGGCAGATTCCCTATAGAACCGGATCATCGTTGCTGCCAGGGAGTGAAAAGAAAAAAATCCTTCAAATTTATTTCGTTCTGCGATTAACCGTGCTGTGAAATGCTGGACAATTGAAGAATTTCAAGAACTTCTGCACGGACATAATACTTTCGATAGGTTATTTAAAGCGGAAAATGACCATCAAACCATAATCTTAGCAGATGAATGAAAATGGGAAACGTGAATTGTTGGTGAAAATGTTGGACCAAAAAGTTTCAATAAAAAAATCAATTTTGGGCGGAACGAAGGTCGCCGAGTCTGCTAGTATTTGTATAAAAGAGGGGTTGAAATTGCATATTATGGAGAACACAATTTTTTAAATCGCTATATCTCACAAACCATACCATTTTTCTGAAAAATACAAAAAATAAATTTATGTGACTTTTGACCATGAATAAATATTTTTGCAGATGTGAGATGGATGGAGATTTTTGCTACTTAATTTATAATGGTATTTGCAACAATCGTGTCAACTTTCGACTTTATGCGAATTAATGTGACCTTGAATGTATAACTTGACCGGGCTGAATAATAATAATCGTTTTAACCCTTCCTTTCATTTCTTTCAGGTTCCTGGCGCCTTGGTTGGGTATTATGTGACATTTGGATATCACTGGATGTGTTGCTATGCACGGCGTCTATATTGAGCCTCTGTGCTATTAGTGTTGATAGGTAAGGGAAACTAAATGCAGCGGTGCTATGCTTGAGCGATTTCAAAAGTATTAAGAATAAAAACAGTAAATTGTAAAATTGTAATTAGCAACATTTGCCAAAACCGTGGAGTTTACATTATAAATGAGTGCTCATACAAAGTGAAAACCCTTTTATATCAAGGCATTTTGGAACCTAATTTTTGAGATTTTTAATTTGGTGTCCTTTGCTGCAGGTACTTGGCAGTTACGCAACCTTTGACATACTCACGCAAAAGGCGCTCAAAGCGTTTGGCATTCTGTATGATTTTGATTGTCTGGGTGTTGGCATTGGCTATCACCTGCCCACCAATGCTAGGTTGGTAAGTATGCACTTAAAAGGAGTTCTATTAAGTATTTAAATTGTAAGCATGGTAAAGAATATAATATATACGAGCGCAGATGTACTAAACCTTACTGCAAGCGTCATTATGGCGGTATTACGAAATAATGGAAACGAAACCAGACCGAATGACATTCATATTCTAAATCACTATGTAGAGAACAGAGGTGGCTCCGTCATTGGTAACGTTAATAAGGTACCAAACTAAAAAAAAAAAACACACATTTTAAATGTACTGCAATTTTCTTTTGCCCCGTGTTTTAATATAGTCCTAATTTTGCATTTTTTATACATCATATATGTTTACAATTTAACAAAATTAAACCAGATTTCTTTTCAAAAAGTTAAATTTTTAACATAAGTTTACGGGTTTGACAGTTTCTTCTATCTTGTGTTCCATTGCTTCTAAATGAAGTCATTATTCGTTGTAATAAATGGTGCATTTTTTAAATGCAGTATTACAACAATATATACATGTAATCACCAATTCCGAGATATTCTTTCATAGCCCAGTAAAATTAGACTTTATCTCAAAAAAAAATTGTAACAGCGATTTTTTGATGCAGTTTACTTCTATTTGATACCTAGATCACGGATCCATAGTCTTGCCCCTAAATTTCATTCCGCCATCTTGAATTAAAGTTTTTTGGTTTTTTTTTTGCGATTTGCAAACTTATTTTGCATTTTTGTTAAAAAATGGTTAAATTCAAATCTGTAGAGAATTTAATTTTCCACATTTGTCATATAGAAGGTTTTTTGAAAATAGCTTTTTTTATTGTAAATAATTAGCAAAACCTGAGAAAAAATTTTACTTTGTTACGGTTTTCGCCATTTTTCGACAATTTCTGTTGAAAATACATAGCATATTGATATTACAAAGTTGTAGCGAATTTGAGTCTTCACAACTTTTATACCTAAATTTTTTTTATGACGCTTAGATCACGGTCGGGAACGTGCCAAACATAGCGATTAGCCCAGTACAATTAGATAGATTTGGTAGGAAAATTAAAAAATATTTGTAACAGCGATTTTTTGATGCAGTTTACTTCTATTTGACACGTAAATTATGGATCCACAGTCTAGTCCCTAAATTTCGTTTGGCAACACTCCGCCATCTTAGATTTAAGTTTTTTTTTGGGTTTTTGCTATTTGCAAGCTTATTTTGCATTTTTCCTAAAAAATGGTTACATGCAAATATGTAGAGAATTTAATTTCCCACATTTGTTATATAGAAGGTTTTTTAAAAATAGCATGTTTTATTGTAAATAATTTGCAAAAACTTACATTGTCACGGTTTTCGCCATTTTTTGACAATTTCTATTGAAAATACATAATGAAAATGCATATTGAAATTCCAAAGTTGTAGAGAATTTCATTCTCCACAACTTTTGTACATACATTTTTTTTGTACGACGCTTAGATTACGGCCGGGAACGCGATAAACATAGCGATGTGCGGGATGCGCCGTAAAACTCATTTCCACACCACCGCTGAGGTAGAGTTTTTCGGCGCGTTTTTTTAACATGGTTTCCCAGTAGGCCTAATCCACGGGCAACGTTTTTTTTAATGAAAGCAGGTGAAGTAAGGTTAATTTTCATCAGAATCTTGTTCGTTTTGTAGGATAAGTTGGAAGATTTAAGTCATCTTCATTGTCTTTAGACTCCCAGCTTTGTAGCTCAGCATCTGTCTCCTCGTCAAGTTCTGTGCTATCGTTCACAAGGTCCTCGTCATTGTCGTCGTCATCTACCTGGGTGCTCGGAGTATTGGTGCAGGAAGTGACGCCACATTTCTCGCAAATTAGCGTACAATGCGGACTGAATCCAAATCTTTGACCTTTCTTTCGTGATCATTATCACCTCTTTCGATACTCACGGACAACAGTTTTGTAACGCCCTTCTCCTGAACAATTGAAATTTTACCACTATCTAAAGATTTTTCACATATAAAGCACTTCTCCATTCCAAACACTTTCACCTCGAGCCAGGCAGAGCTGGAGTTTATTTTGAACACAAATTGATAAAAAAAAATCCCGAAAAACGTGACCAAAATGGTTACCAAATAGTTTATTTTAATTATTTATATAAGACACCCGAAGGACATACACTAAATAAGAACGCATTTATATAGAGACACTATGAAATTTAAGTATCAAAACGCCTATACGATTTAAAATACTCGCACATATGTTCATTGATGGGTCAAATACTTCATAATTTGAAATCAGCGCTTACTATGATACAAAAAACAATTATGAGAATTATTTTAAGAAGGTTTAAATGTTAAATTCTTCATTAACTAATGATTTTGTTTCGAAATTAAATCAGGGTGGTGGGTTAGTTGTACGTCTGAAACAATTCGCGTATTCGGATATACAAACAAGTAAGAAAGTCTAAGTTCGGACGGAGCCGAACATTAAATACCCGGCGCGAGTATTAAATATATGATTTTCACATTTCCGAAAGCTGCCGCTACATGGTAAGCCGGGGTGTATCACTTTTGAGTAAATTAGCGTCCTTAAATTTCGAAATATTGAAGTTTCAAGCATTTCTGAAATTTACCGTTATATGAAAAGCGGCCATAATCTTAGTCCGATTTCAATTATTTTCAACGCTTTGCTTTTACGTGGCAAGCACAATAACCATACCGGGTTTGGTACAAATTGGTGAAACGCTTACTGAGATACATATATGTGATCATAAGTGGGCGGTGCCACGCCCATTTTCAAAAATTGTATCATAAAAGTATTTCCTCTGGTAAAGAATTGTTGAAGCATCAATTTTTAATAAATTAGCTTTAATATTTACTGATTTATTGAAGATTTTGTATGTGGTCGTGGTTATCGTCCCATTTTGAAAATTTTCGGCCATTTGATGTGCTGTAAGGCCAACAACTGTGCCAAGTTTGGAAGAAATTGGTGCAGCGGTTACCAAGATATACACATGTAAGCACAAGTGGGCGTGGCTACGCACATTTTCCAAAAATTTATAATATTCTTATTTTTCGTCTAAAATTTATTGTAAATATCAATTTTGAGTGAATAATTTTCAGTAGTGACTAAAACATCGCAGTTTTCGTATTTCTGAAAATTACCGTTATATGGGTTACAGTCCGATTTCGCCTATTTTCTATACCAACCTACCTTGGATAAATTCAAACCTACATANTCGTCTAAAATTTATTGTAAATATCAATTTTGAGTGAATAATTTTCAGTAGTNACCGGTGTTTTTAAACTGATCCGTCATTTTAATTTTTCAAATCTGATTTCAGATTCGTAGTCAGAGACCTTAAGAACACTCGAAAGTTTTAAGCGAATCTAATCGATTTACATTTTTGTTCGCCTTATTGGGTCCGTNAAACATCGCAGTTTTCGTATTTCTGAAAATTACCGTTATATGGGTTACAGTCCGATTTCGCCTATTTTCTATACCAACCTACCTTGGATAAATTCAAACCTACATACCAAATTTCGTTGAGATATCTCAATTACGATACAATAATCAATACAGACGGACAGACGGACGGACAGACANACAAAGTTAATATACCCTTGTGCACAAGTGCGCTCGGGTATAAAAATTTGGATAGAACTCCCAGCCCTAGTTAGTTTAAATTTTGGAGTTATGTGTTTTGATATACGGTATGAGAGTATGTCGGCCGCTGTGGTGTAGTGGTAAGCAGTGCGCGCTTCCACTCCACAATGCCTGGGTTCAAACCCTGGTCAAAGCAACATCGCAAAAATATAGAAAAAAGGTTTTTTCTTAACAGCGGTCGTCCCTCGGCAGGCAATGGCAAACCCCCGAGTGTATTTCTGCCATGAAAAACAGCTTCTCATAAAAATACAATCGCCGTTCGGAGTCGGCGTAAAACTGTAGGTCCGTCCGCTTTGTGTGACAACATCAAGGCGCACGCCACAAATCGGAGGAGAAGCTCGGCCAAACACTAACATATGTGTAAGCGCCAATCTATTATTATTATTATGAGAAAAGATGAAAATAAACATCAAAACCCAAAACTCAACTGTAGTGCTAACTATCGGACCCAGTTGTGAATATAAACCCTCCAGAAATCCACTCAAAAACATGGGTCCAGCCGCTTAGGAAGACATCAGTGATATACACACCCACAGAAGATTACCGGTGTTTTTAAACTGATCCGTCATTTTAATTTTTCAAATCTGATTTCAGATTCGTAGTCAGAGACCTTAAGAACACTCGAAAGTTTTAAGCGAATCTAATCGATTTACATTTTTGTTCGCCTTATTGGGTCCGTCATTTTGAATTTTTCCAACCTGACCTCAGATTCGTAATAAGCAGCCCCAAGAACCCCAGAGGAAAACTTTACAAACAAATAGGATCGACTCAAATTTTTTGGCCGCCATATTGGGTTCGCCATTATGAATTTTTAAAATCATGCTCTATGTTCGCAATCAGCAACCTCAAAAACATAAGAAGCTACTGTTACTTTTTCTTTTTTAGTGTTGGGTTCTCCGGTGGCACAAAAAATGTGAAGCAAAATCTAATTTACGGTAAGTTTACACGCTATATTTGAGACGCCATGTTGAATTTTTGAAAAGCTCACACTGTTTTTAATGTAGGGCGTCTATATGATCATTTTAAGACCTTAATCGTTGTAATCCGTCCTATAAAATTTTGGCCATCGGACTAGGGTTGCCAGACGTACTGCTTTTGGGAGTAAACGTACTCCTTTTTATTGCAATGTACTCACTTGTACACCCAAAAAAAAATTTCTGGAAATGTACTCCCTTCTCAATTTTGTACATCTTTTGTACTCCTTTTTCCAGCTACTAATATTTTATCATGTACAGGGTGTAAATAAATAACTGTTGCACAGGTAAAAGTGGTCTTTATAGATTTTGCGGAAAAACTAGTTTTTTATTAATTATCCACAAATTTTACTTAAATTTTATTGATTCGTTTTTAAATTTAACCTTCATTTGAGTTTACCAGCGGTAAACACT